GTATTTTTTTTAATTCCATATATATTTTGAAACCTAGAAGATAATATACTTTTTCTATACAATGTTTATCTTCATTTACCCACACATTTATTTTTAACTCTTCATTCTGTCTTGCATCTTCAAGCTTCCACCTAGATCACATTCTCTGTGCCTAAAAAATACTATTTAGAATTCCCTTTAATGCTGCTCCATTGCTAAGAAATTCTAAGAAGTTTGTCTAAAAACACATTTATTGTACTTTCATTCTTCAGTGATATTTCCAATAGATTCAGAATTCTTGATTGGCAGTCATTTTCTATTAGCACTTTTAAAATATCATTCCTTTGTCTATCAACTTCTGTTGCTTCTAGGTATGGATCTTATCACTGCCACTCTTCCCTCTGACTGCAAAGAATTCTCTGTCTTTAGTATACAAGTTTTATTCTGGTATTTTAATAGTTGTAGTTTTCTGTGTATTTATTCTGCTAGAGTTCTTTGTACTTCTTGAATCTGTGGCTGTCTCCAGTGCATTTTGCAAAATTCTCAGCTATTATTACTTCAAGTATAGTTTTTGCTTCATTCTGTCTCTTCAGGAATTCCAATTACACACATGGTACATCTTTTCAGCACATGTTATCTATCTTTTAAGCTTTTTTCTGATTATCCCAACCTCTTCTCTCTCTGCTAATCTATTTATTTTCTTCTGACCTCACTTCCAGTTCACTAATTCTTCAATTTCTTCAGTTGTGTCCGTATACTATTAAAATCATCTACTGAATTCTTAAGTTATATATTTCAATTCTAGAGTTTCCTTTTTACTAACTTTCAGTTCTCCGCTGAATTTATATTTCTTTTAATTAGTTGAACTTATTAAGCACAAGAATTTCCAAAATATATCTGCAACATCCACTGTCTGGATCATATGAGTTTATTTCCATCATCTGTTGTTCCTCCAGGTTCTTGTTGTGTTTGTCTCCTTTTATACCTTATTACATTTAAGTGTCATCGCTTTACATAGAAAATTATAAAGAACTTGAGGCTCCAGATGTTATCTTCCTCTAAAGTAACTTCTGCTTCTAGCCTGCAGCTAGATCAAGGGCACCAGCAATGCCAGATTACCTGATCCATGAGAATTAACATGATCTGAAGCTGGACTTCAGTTTCTGTGAAGGTAGATTTATTTCTGGTTCATCCTTAACTCCTAGAATGAAACCCTTTCAGTTTCCAACCTCACAACAAGGTTTTTACCAAGACCCCTTTTCCCTACTAGGCCCTGAACTCCAATTTTTGTCCTCTCCCGACCCCATGAATTTCTTTCAATAAAATCTGCTAAATGTCTCACTCAGCCACCTCCTCTGAAAGTGGCAAATGCCCTCAAACACAAGATTCCTCTCTGGGATTTCCTTATCTACCAGATCCTGACAACTTAATTTCTCATTATGCTGATACACTTCTGCTATTCTTTCACCTCTGTACATCCAGCTTTTCCAGTTGTTCTTAAAAAGGAAGTCTAGTCCAAGCCAGCTATGCATTATATCTTTCATTCCAGAGAAATGTTCACTTGCTACTCTTTTCGATAGACAAAATGTTCTACCTTAGGTTGCAACCTGGCTATGCATTATTGCTGACATTTTTCAGAATGTAAATTATATTTAGTGACATTTTATAATGCTATTCTTGAGAAAGATGCATATTAAAATATTAACAGTGATTACTTCTAGATGGTAAGAACGGAAGGTTTTTTATTTTCCTATTTGCTCTTAACTATTGTCTAATTTTTTTATAAACAGTATAACTTGTACTTTCTTACTAAATTGAAAAAAAAAATTTACTAAACTTTAAACATGGTTTCTACATACCAATAACAAAGAAAAGTACATGAAAAAGATTAAGCACTAAAATCATTTATTTGTTTGACTCTGAACCCCAAAGTAACCTCTAGCAAGCACAGCTGAATCTTTTGATAGTCTAAAAATTTACTACCACCCACCCAAGTAGATTTTTCAGGTATATTCACTAGGTGATAAACACAAAGAACTGTTTGAGGGAAGACCAGAGCTCTCCACTTTCACACTGAAGAACTCCATAAAAGTTTTAAGACACCCTCTCCAAGTATCATAAGTTTCCTTATTTGTGCCATATTGCCTATAAGTTCACATCAAACTATAAAATGTTCACTGTGAAACCTAGCTAGGATTTGAATTTTCAAACTACAAAACCCTCCAGAGAACAATATTCTTCCTGCCTAAAAATAAATGCACAAACCAAAAATATTGCTTAAACTTTCAAAATAAAACACAATCGCAACTACAACTGTCTTCATTCAAAAACAGCTTTTCAGTCCTCTTCTCTTTGACAATATTTACTACAGTGTTGAGAAAAGTCACCTTTTCCCACAGAACTTCACACCAAATCTATTTAGAGACCTCTAATATATAGCCTAAGTAAATTCACATATGAAAATTGAACCACCCCCACAGATTTAACCAAATTCAAATCAAAGGCATCAATCTGCCTTCAAAAGCCTTACAGTCATCCAACAATTTACCTCAACCTAAGAAAACTGTAATTTTCCAAAAATGATAGAACAGCACCATTTCCAGTTGCTACTAAACTAATGGACCTAAAGCAGTGATCATCAAGAGATACTAGAGAGGCCTCCAGACATTTTGTACCTTCTGAACTTACACCTCAATGTGGTCAATTCTCTATCTAGATCAGTGATCCTGAAAGCATATCCATGGAAAAGCAGCAGCAGCAGCATCTGGAAACTTGTTAAAAATGCAAATTATGGGCCAGCCCGGTGGCGCACTGGAGAGTGCGCCGCTTGGGAGTGTGGCGGCGCTCCCACTGAGGGTT